TGACCATGTCTACAAATGTGATCAAGTGTACCTAAACTTCTGCTTGCTTTTCTTTTGTTTGGTCAACATATAAAGTACTTGCTTTAAGTTAACATATTATGTGGGTTTTATTATGGGGTAATTAGATTCTTCAACTGGGATATATAGTCAGTATGTCTATCAGAGATTCTCTACGAATCACCACATTCAAATATGTACTTTTCTCAAATACTGAACATAACCTTTATGTTGAACAATATTTTAATTCAGGGAATGGAATCATAAAGTACTTTTATTCTATTTACATTTACTCATTGAGGCTAGATTTTTTTTCTATTCTTAGATACAAATTCCACTAATTCTTGTGACTGTTATGTGACCTGAGTTCTTCTAGTGAGTAATTAAAATGTTCAGTGTCATTTAATAGTCATAACTTTGAACTTTTCCCCACTTTTGACCATCTTTAAGTTGGGAACCCTGAAGTCAAAGTAAGGAGAGTAGTCAGCTCCTTTGCGTTGTGTGTCTATACCTTCAGGGCTGAAATAGAGCAAGTAAGACTAGGTAAAGTGGGAGCAAATGGTTCTCACTTGATAGATACTCTTATGAACTGGCATGGCACTTCCTGAATCTAGCTTGACTTGTTAGGTGAATTTTCCTTTTGTGCTGTTTTGTGGGTTCTTTGGAGATCCATTCATCCCACAGGTGGGGACTTCTCACCTTCCTTTGATGTGAGTAATACATTCTCCTCCAGCTCCAATGCTTACTTCTTCCACAGACCGTATCTCTAGCTCTCTCTTTGATAAGTTCTTTTCAGCCATCAAGGAAGCTTTATGGGAGAAGATCTGTAAGACTCCCTCCAACCCCCACTCCATTTGGGCTACTGTAACAAAATATTACAGACTGGTTGGCTTATAAACATTTCTCATCGTTCCGGAGAATGGGAAGTCTATCACAGCACTGGCAGATTCATTGTGCTGGCTGATAAGAGCCCTCTTCCTGGTTCATAAAGAATGTCTTCTCACTATGTCCTCACATGATAAAAGGACTAGCAAGCTCTGTGGGGCCTCCTTTTGTAAGACTGCCAGTCCTATTTGTGAGAAATACACCTTCGTGACCTAACCACCTCCCAGAGGCCCCATCTCCTAATACGATCATATTGATCATCGGGATTGCAATATATAAATGGGAGGGAGGCATGACACAATCCTAATAATCCTCTCTCTCTCTCTTTCATTCATATTCATATCCTGTCTGTCTGGATATAGTCCATAGAAGCAAAGTTTGTCATAGGCCACCCAAAACCTCTTCTTTTGTACTTTTATCTGCAACTAAACCAATCCATCTCTTATAACTTAGATTTCTCAAGTGGAAATCAGGCAGTCTCTGTGAGGCAGCTATCAAGTTCTTCCAAGTAGTTCTATTAAACCTTTTTTTCATTGGACTTGAGGCTTCATCCTTGGGAAGAAATTGGGACTTAAAACCACCACTAGCAGCAATCTCAAAAAAAAATCCTTTTTATCGGTTCTTTTATTTCTTTTAAAACTGGGTGATCATCTCAGAGTTTTATGCTATTCTCCCCTTCAAGTTTTGCATGCTGTCCTAGTTAGATACGCACTATCAATTGTCTTTAAGCCTCAGCTGGAACTGAGATATCAACACTGTACTTTAACATTTTTACAGTATCTGGTTTTGATACGAGTTGTCACTTTTTTTTTCTTTAAATCAGAAGATAGCAGATCCTCTGAGTAACTTTAATATTACAAAATATAAAATATTTTATAATGTAAGTAGGTATTATATTAATATTTTGAATATAATCATTATATGAAAAATAAAAATGGTAAGTCAAATGACTTTCAAAATACATAGTATAATTGACCGGTTATATATAGATCACTTACTTACTTACCAGTTATATGTAGATCACTCACTTACTTAGGCACTCATTTCGTTAGAAAAATACTTATTCAATATTTACTAGACAATAGGAGTCTAATGTTGGACAAAGCAAATTTAGTCCATTCCCTCATGGAGTCTGCATTCTAATCTATTATAAAAAGAATATATTGTCTTTGCACAACCTTTGGATGTTTGGCAAGAACTGTCCTAATCTTAGAGTATATGAAAGGATGGAGAACCAGTAGAGAAGAGAGAAAGTAACTAATGAACAAAACAGTGAGCCAATAAGAGCCCAAAAGTAAGCATAAATTGATGAAAAGTAGCAGTAGGTATCTGTGATATAGAGTTAATGCTAAGATGACTTAGTAAACATAGAAACTCATAGTAGGGCATTTGGTTACCATGACTCTTAGGGAAAAGCTTGTCTTTGGATGAGATGTTATTTGGAAAAAGTTACTGTAAACATATTTGTATGAAAATATTTACTGAAGAAAAATCTCTTATCTCAATAAAGAAAAAAATGTGGCTATTTGATGTAGTACAATTGGGAATATGTGTTCAACCACTGGATGCTGCCTGGCAATATAATTGTTAGTTATTATATTTTTGTAGCTAGCTTTGAAATATATATTTTATGGATTTTCAAGTTTAAGAGGAGAATATATGCTTTACTGTCACACAACTCCTATTCTGAGGAAAATAATGAATACTTTTATTTAATTATACATTTACAATTTTAGAACCAGCTGCCTATTTGCAAAAAGGACATTAAGTCAGCTTTTAAAGATATCTACGATGCTGAAAAAAATAATAATTATAATAAGTAAGGCAAAGAAAGCCAGAGAAAGGAAATAAATATGTAGGCTAGTCAGTACACAAAAAATGCATGCCATAAAATTCCTTATGATTTCAATACAAATAGGACTCTGAACTTACTATAAAGGCCAAAGGAAAGAGGGAAGAAGCTAGTTTATGAGATTCATTGTGTCCACAAGTTAAAAACTAAGCAGTTGACCAGGAAAACATATTAATTATTAGTATTAACAAAAAATTTAACCCATGGATTCTTTTCCAGAGGACACTTTTGCAAAAGAATGTCCTCAATGAAGATACAGTTGACACAGTTTCATAGAGTTCTGTTTTCCTTCTTCCTCCCAATCTCTGCTTTAGGTGGTTGGTTTTTTTGTTTGTTTGTTTGTTTGTTTGTTTTTAAATAACAGCCCTGTGTCAGTTAGATCTATCTTTGACAGACCCCTTGCATTCTCCCTCCTCCAGGGAGATGAACCCTTCAGAATGACTTCCCAGGCTCGGAGTCCGCAGTATCCCTGCTGGGTTCAGTCAATGGGACAACTAGTAGGATACTGAAAAACAGGAGAAAGGGAGAAGCTGCCATACTTCTTACTTTCTCTCTGCCTTCAGTAGCTGAGGCTACATCTCCACCCCCCTGCACGTGTATATATAGAAAGTTCCAGCTTCCACCAAGTTATCCCAGGTCCCTCTGTCCCTGCAGCTTAGGTTTAGTAATGGCTTCTTTTCTTTGGGCTGCCCCACTGTCCCAGCTGCCTTCTCAGATTTTATCACTGATGGAGTAATTTCTCTACTTTCAATGCCCTCTGCTTTAAATATTCAGAGAGCAGGGGCGCCTGGGTGGCGCAGTCGGTTAAGCGTCCGACTTCAACCAGGTCACGATCTCACGGTCCGTGAGTTCGAGCCCCGCGTCGGGCTCTGGGCTGATGGCTCAGAGCCTGGAGCCTGTTTCCGATTCTGTGTCTCCCTCTCTCTCTGCCCCTCGCCCGTTCATGCTCTGTCTCTCTCTGTCCCAAAAATAAATAAACGTTGAAAAAAAAAAAAAAAACTTTAAAAAAAATAAATAAATAAAAAAAATAAAAAAAAATAAATATTCAGAGAGTTATCTGTTGTCTGTTTGATCCTGACTGATAGAATCACCCACTATAAGTTAATGACATATCTTTCAGGTCAATTCTACGTAAACAATTTTACACTGAGCGATACCATGGAAAGTCTGCATATTACATGCTTAGGCAACAATGAACAGCAGGTGCAGAAGGGTATAGGAAACAAACTGCCATTAGGCATTAAGATACGATTTTTAGGGAGAGAATAATAATTCACCAGTACCAAAACACAAGACATTTCAGCACATAGATGCCATGATGCATCTTCAGTGGGTATGCTCCCGAGGAGCTCCCTAGAAATGCACAGATGCCAACATCTTGTCTGTAATGAGTCAATGTAACCCAGAAAGAATATCCTGGGGAAGTAGCACCCTCTCTCTCATCTACCTATAAACAACATATAGGATTCACTTAGGACTGTCTTTTCTTGGCAAATAGGGAAGATATATGGGAAAGCTAACATTCCAGGTCTTCATTTCACTAAAAATGTAAACTAGCAAACCCTTTACAAGACAACATATATGCTAATAATATAGCAACCGTTTCAAGATACCCATTAATTATAAGACAACGGTGAAACTTTTCCCAAGAACTCAGATTAATGCTCAGATAAATAATATTTTCTTATCATTTAACTTAAAAATCAACACATTCTGGCTAGAAAGTTCATGTGCAAACTTACCTTAAAGAGACAGATGAACTTTTAGAATTGCCTTATATATGGAACCCAATGGTTTTCAATAAAAATGTGCTCTGAAATCCGGGAATGCAAGAAACCAAATACTATCGGTGCTTGTCTTAGCTCTTAACCATAAGAGATAGTTACTTCAGCCCATAAAAAGAGGTTTATTTCATTCTGGAGTCATTAAAAATTTCAATCATATGGCTAATACCCTAGTTTTTATTACACATATATCCAATTGTGTTTGCACCCTAATTTGGCCTACCTGGGCTGTCCAAGAGGGAGAATATGCAATGACTGGAGTCTTTCAGTCTCCACAGTAGTTATGATTCTTATTATCAATTAATACAACAGCATCATAAATTTGAAACGTGCATCCTCTCTGTGAAGGGTGTGCTGGCAAGTTTTGCTGCTTGGCTTGTAGGACTTACCTTAAACCATGGCAAAACCACCAATTCAAACTCCCTGTGAGACATGTTTCTCAGGAAATGCATCCCACCAGCATCAATTTCTTCTCCACCTACCTGAAAGACTTCTTAATATCTTCTGCTTGGATTGTCTTGAGAATCTCTTGGTATAAGTGAAGATCAAGCGTTCCTGAAGTTGTAGCATTTGAAGGGCAATTTTTATGTGCATAATAGCCTATCAAAATCCCCAAAATAAATAAAATGGTGGCTGTGCAAAGTATTTTTAAAAGGCGGCAAAAATTGCAGGGGTTGCTCTTTGGTGCAGATCTTGTATAACGGGTTACATAGTCAGACTCTTCTTGAAGTCTCTGAAACCTTCCTTTGGGTGAAGTTGCTGGTTGAATGGAATCAAGATTGAGGTCTGCAGTCTCTGGATTCTCCAGGTTCTGATTCTCAGCACTATCTAGCTGGAACTGGTCAAAACCAGGCTCCTCCAGCTCCTTTTCCATGTCCCACTCTAAGTCAAGGGCAGTGGCTTGAAGGTCATCATTGTCTAAATACTGTGAATGTCCTGGAGCTCTTTGATCTGCATTGACCTTCTGATAAGCCATCTTTTTACCTGTGAAAATAAGAGAAGTATATTTTCTTAAAATAAAATGTGAAACTGAATATGGAAAACCTCATTTAAAATGGAGGTGGGGGGACCAGCAGATTACAGATCCCAACAGGAAGAGGCACACCTTGCATTCCCAATTGGAAGAAGCCTATTTTACTACCCTACAAGGAAAGGAAAAGTTTCTCCCTGCTCAGCAACAAGCTCAGCAAATAACAAAATCCAATTCAGCTAATGAGAAACCATTAACACCCTGCACACTCACTTTCTTTCAATGGACTTTTCCTTCAAAGCAGCCCCTCCAAATTTCCTCCTTTTCTCAATAAAGTAACAGTCCTCTCCTTTGATCTCCAGGCTTGCCTATGGTTTGCCATAGTTTGCAGGTCCTGAATTGCAATTTCTCTGCTATTCCAGAATAAAGCCATTTTGCTGGTAAAATAACTGGCTGTTTACTTTTAAGGTGGACAAAACAAACAATAAAGAAAATCTCCAAGGTAAAAAGAAAAGACAACAGCAATCATATTAGGTTGCTAAATAAAATTTTACTGATAAAATTTTAGTGAATATAATCATGGGAAATATACTGCCCCTATAGAAAAATCACATATTAGTTAATTATGTAATCTTCTGTTTTTCTGTTGATGTTTATTATAGGAAGAGGAGACAAATGAAACTTTGAGAAAACATAAAATAGACACACACACACACAATTATTCCTTTGAAGTTCAGGAGAATAAAAAGATCACAAATGTACAAGTGCATTGAGGATAAAATATTATCATGGAGGAAAAATTTAAGCTTACACATTGTCAAAATCACTTTTAAGAAAAACTAAGGGCAGAAGCAATAAAGCTCTGGTTTAGTAGTAAGTTAAGGAAGGAAGGAAGGAAGGAAGGAAGGAAGGAAGGAAGGAAGGAAGGAAGGAAGGAAGGAAGGAAGGAGAAAGAAAGAAAGAAACAAACAAACAAAAGAAAGACAAGAAAGACCCTGGGATGATTTTTAGTATCAGAACTATTTTCAAAAAGAGATCAGGATACAATAGAAACAGAAACTAAATGGAGTGATAATGTTATTGAAATACAAGAAACAAAATATAATATGTTACATAGTCACAAATTATCAAAAGGACTGGAAACTCTAAGGCCACCCCAGAAGACCAAATGTTTCCGTGGAATTAGTAACAGGAATTGGCCTGTATCACTGAACGTTAAATAAAAGTCTGGGATGGCATCTTTCCAAAAAGGGAAGCCTTTTGCCAGCTAGGAGAGTTTGGTTTCATAACCTTGCTACAGGAGTGGCAGATGGAGATTTTCTCCCCTACACAGTTTTGGATGACAGTTTGTTATATCCTGCAGAGTGGTATTAGGCTAACTGGGCTAATTAACTACAAGTGGTCTTCTGTCTGTATTCAGTAACCCACTGGTGTATTATGGTTGCAGATTAGGAGTATTTATACTTAAATTTTCTGTGTATTAGATTTGTCATCTCAGCTGGATTCTAAGGTCCCTCACTATGTTTTATGATTTTTCTATGTGCCCCACTGTGGTGGGAGAAGAATAGAGCTCAATGGACAAGTGATCAGCTAATTGCCTTAGGTCCAGTGGTTAACAAGTAAACTCTGATAGGAAGATACAGGGACTTCATGGAAGGGAGTGGCATTCTACAGAGAATTATGGGTATATGCAGCTCTAATCCTGTCTGGCAGAGATCCATATTAATTAAAATGTTCTGATTTTTTAAAGAGTTCAAATATAATTAAATATTAATCTTACAAAATAAAAATCGTAATTCTGACTAGATTTCTCATCTGCTACCCTATAATCTAGGATTCAGTCTTACCCATTGTTGACTCCATAACAATAAGTAATGCATGTCAGGTACTGGGACAGGCAGTGAAAACAAAGATAAATGGGTCCTTAATCCTCAAGGAAGGAACAGTTCAATCAGAGATAAATGCATGAACAAACCTATAAGTTGAATAAAAAATGTAGAGTGCAAAGGAGACTCAGGGAATATGGGAAAGGCTTCCCCAAGAAAGTGATCTCTGAGATATTTCGGCAAGAGAGGAAGAGCTAACTAGGGCTGACCAGGGGTGTGAAAGGATGACATTCAGGCAGGCGAAATTTACAAACATGCAGAGGAATAAGAATGCATGGTGCATGGACCACTTGGAAAATGCAAAACTACCAGCACTCTAGTACAAGGAAGGAGCACATGGACTGGAGATTCAGAGAAAAAGCTAGGAAAGCATATTTGTGGGTAAAAGGCTTAACTTCTGTGTAACTCACGGTCTTCATCTGTGAAATGGGCATGATAATAATATAAACTTCATAGTGTTGTAATTAGGATTAAGACAGGGCACCTAAAACATCCATTGAGTGTTGCATAGGCTCTATGGCTTAGAAGGGACATTTCTGGTAGTAGAGGAGAGAGGACCGGGGAAGACTGATGGAGGAAATGAAATGAGTTAAGTAACGCAGGAGAAATTATAAGGGTAAGACGTTGTGGAGAAGGGGAAGCTACATTATATTCACACACATGTACGCTCACATATAAAATATGCTAGTTGTGATTTGCTTGTTTCCATTTAGTTCATATGTAAGACAAAAAAGAAAAAAAAAGCACTACATGACATAACAACTGTTATCATGAAGGTGTTTATTCAGTACCATGCATTACAATAGACTCAGGAATAATTCTGCACTTTCCCCAACCCCTTTCCTTCCGTCTCCCTCCTTCCCTTTCACTTAGCCTGGTTTCCAAAGTGATTCAAGAAAGCACAACAATTGAATTTTATCCTTGCTCATACCAAGACAAGCAAAAAAAAAAAAAAAAAAAAAAAAAAAAAAAAAAGAAAGCAATGGTTGGAGTTAATGATAATTATTCATATAAGTTAGGAGAGCGTTGGTAAAGTGTTAGAGGAAGACTCCAAATCACACTTAGTTAAAAAAAAATTTTTTAAGGTAAAAGAAAATCCAGGAGGATAGGAAAAACTTGAAGGTATTAGAACTAAAGGCTTTCTAAAATCCATAATTCTAAATTCTCTCTGAATGCAGAAGAGGAAACTGAGGTCTAGAGTTGAATAATTCTTTAGACTGAGAAAAGTGATGCTTGGGTACATTTTTCTTAAGGTGATTTGTGGTTTTATAAAAAATATGAGATTAGGGGCACCTGGGTGGCACAGTCGGTTAAGAGTCCGACTTCAGCCAGGTCACGATCTCGCGGTCCGTGAGTTCGAGCCCCGCGTCAGGCTCTGGGCTGATGGTTCAGAGCCTGGAGCCTGTTTCCAATTCTGTGTCTCCCTCTCTCTCTGCCCCTCCCCCGTTCATGCTCTGTCTCTCTCTGTCCCAAAAATAAATAAAAAACTTTGAAAAAAAATTAAAAAAAAATATGAGATTAATAATTTATTAGCAGTAAATTAATGTTAAATACCCCACAATTCAAATTGTTTTAACATACAATTTAAAATACTGAAATTTCTTAACACTAGTCATTTTTTTCTTTTTTAGCTTACACATCAATAAATCCTTGCTATCTTGAAATGATATTATGATATTTATTTCTTTAAGTGTTCCGTTCATGCATTATTGATTAATTTACTTAGACACTGCCCCATGGTGGTTCTTTAGACTTCCCTGTCTCTCATTTTAATGAATCAGAGTCTCTCTCTTTAAAGATTGTTTCAAAAATTGAATTGTAGGACATGTCTTATGCTCAAGAAAGACGTGGCACACAGGAGTTACTATGGAAATGTGCGATCTCTAATTATGACCTCTAATACAAACATTCAAAGTCATTTCCACACAAATCATTTAAAAATCAACGGCAGCGATGAGGGAGAGTTTTCATCTCTAGCCTGACAGTAGGCATTCCATCACAAGTACATCAGCAATTTAACGCTTTTCAAACATCAGACAGAGCCATCAATTAGAATGTAATGCAGATACAGATATTAAGTCCTCACCATGATGGATATCTGCCCAACACCCTTACTACCACTTTTGAACTCATTACACATTTATAAACTTACCCTAAATTCTATCTTCCAGGAGAGCAGTAACTGGGTCAAAGGTAAATGGAATCATTCAATGTAACAAATTCCTAAATACTTCAAGAAAACTTCCAAGGAAATAAGTATGGGCGAATGAACATACACAGTGAAGCATTTAAACCATTTACATTTGTAAAATAAGTTACATATATATTCTATACATGTTCTGTACATTTTATATATATTTAGAAATCGATTTCTTTAAAATTATCTTGCCTCAAGGAAAATCGTATAGCTTTTTGCAAAACTATAAATCTCTGCACTGATAGTTCTGTTTCACTTAATCTATCTAAAATAAACTCCTTAAAAATAAAACAGAGTACCACTAAATAAAACTGATCATATATTCAATTTTGAGTCAGCACAAATTATTTTATTCATGCTACAAAGAATGTAGCCTTCCTTAAAAACCTATGCTCTGTAAGGTAAGTAAACAACATAACACAGTGTTTTATCAGAATTTTCAAATGCTCAAGTACAATAAAAATTACATTATAAAAAGAAATCTTCAGCAAAATCAGCATCTCTTAGATATGATTATATAATTATGCCATCCAAACTTCATGTATTTTCTGTTACTGATATTCATTTAATTTATATCATCATATTATTTTATAACTACTCTATATGAGTAATTTAAAACATACATGTAGTAGATTTCAGAATCAGCCACATGAATTTTCCTCCAAAAGAAATGTACAGTTGACTCTTGAACAATGTGAGAGTTGGGGGTGCTGACCCTCCATTCAGTTGAAAATCTGAGCACAGGGGCGCCTGGGTGGCGCAGTCGGTTAAGCGTCTGACTTCAGCCAGGTCACGATCTTGCGGTCCGTGAGTTCGAGCCCCGCGTCAGGCTCTGGGCTGATGGCTCAGAGCCTGGAGCCTGTTTCCGACTCTCTGTCTCCCTCTCTCTCTGACCCTCCCCCATTCATGCTCTGTCTCTTCCTGTCCCAAAAATAAATAAACGTTGAAAAAAAAATTTAATAAAAAAATAAATAAATAAATAAAAGAAATAAAAAAAAGAAAATCTGAGCACAATATTTGACTCCCCCAAAACTTAATAGCTTACTACCATCTGGAAGT